CTTCATCTCTTTCCAACGATGCAGTCTAGCTGATTCCTGTGTATTCCATCTGGCGAGGTCCACATATATAGTTGCCACTTATGTTGTTGAAAAAGGTATTTCCAATGAATAGGTCATGGGTCTCACAAAATTCTATCATGGGATCTCTAGTGGTTTCTATCACAAAGGCCATATTTTCCAATCCTGATCCTTGTTTCCAACTTTTCCATTCCAATCAGCAGTAATTACAAATGCATCTTGATCAAATGTTAGATCAATTTCAAACTCAAAAAGTTGGTAAAAATCTTTAATTTCTTCATCTTTGGCATTAGTCATTGGTACATAAATTTGAATAATAGTTGTATTAATTGGTCTTCTTCCTAGGTGTATGGATATTATCCTATCACATCACTGAACTTCAGAATAGATTTTAAAATCTTTTTTGACAATGAACAGGATGGCATTTCTCTTCAAGTTGTCATTTCTGGCACAGTAGACCAAATGACTGTCCAATTAAAATTGGCCTATACTAGTCCATTTCAGTTCATTAATGCCTAGGATATCAATTTTTAGGTGTTCCATTTCATTTTTGACAACTTCAAGTTTTCCTAGATATACTTCATACACTCCATGTTCCGTTTATTAATGGACACTTGCATATGTTTCTTCTCGTTCTGAGTTATGCCACATTAAAAATGAAGGTCCCAAAAGCTTTACTCCATCCATATCATTAAGGATAACAATACTTGGAGGCAGCAGCTCTTCCCCAGTCATATTCTGAGTGCCTTCCAACCTGAAGGGCTCATCTTCTGGCACTGTATCAGAGAGTGTTCCACTGCTATCCATAAGGTTTTCACTGGCCAGTTTCTTTAGAAGTACATCACCAGGCCCTTCTTCCTAGGTTGTCCTAGTCTACAAGCTCCACTGAAATGTATCTACCAAGGGTGAGCCTGCTGGTATTTGAAATACTAGTGGCACAGCCTCCAGCATCACAGCACCACATAAGCCACCACAGTACAATAAACTGACAGACAAATGGTGGTCTGTAAAGATTACAGCCTAGAAAATCCTATGGTGTAGTTCTATCCTGTCACATGGGATCACAATGACCCGGAATTGGCTTGACAGCATCTAACAATGATAGGATGAAAACTAACTTTCAAATGTTCTTCAGTTCTTCTGAGAGATACAGAGCCTTCTCATTCAAATACAGGCATGATTATTGATCAACTATTTATCTTTGTAGTCTGTCATCCCCACCACTTTTATTTAT